TCAAGATGGCGGCGCCCCTGTGGAAAATGTTTATAAAACACAAAAAAAGTTTCGCTTGTCCTGAAGTCCGCGCGATTTTCGGTTCATTTTTTTCGCGCACGTGATTGCGAAACACTTGCGGGGGAATATCTCGCCGCGTCGCGTCGCTAAGAGGCGTGCCTGTAGCAACCGCTGCTGTATCTATGATGTGGCCGAAAGCCTTGTCGCCACGTGGCCCCATCAGCGATGATGGCTATGGTGGCAACGCTCAACGGCACGACGCGACGCCCTCAGTGCCAGGTTTCTACCTTCGCTCAGAGTTCGATGTCTAGTGGGTCAAGGCAGAACGCAAGGCCACGAGGGGGGGCTGTAGGCGGAGCTTTTACGACATTCCCGTCATCCTCTGCGGCCCGATAGCCGCCTTACGGATACTGACCAGACACCGACGCACCGTACATTTGCGTTGTGAAGAACCAGCTGAACATACAATGTCCCTTCAATTGTATGTTCAGCTGGTTCTTCCCAATGTATAACCAACTAGCTCAGCTTATCCCCGTCGTATATTTGCGGAAGCGGGACTACTGTGACGTAATTAGAGAAGTTTCGTTGAAAGTTCAATCATTACAATAGAAATATATTTATTTTATTGATATTTTTTCGGCAAATCGTTCATACTGAATCAGGCGGCCGAAAGAACGCTTCTGAGGACTTGAACTATACTCCGCGACAACTTTTCTTGGCAAGGCAGTATACAGGCCCGCGTCCCCTCTCCCATTTCGAGTGTACGCAGGCTCTCCTCCTCCCCCATTTCCGGGGAGAGGAGGAGAGCCCGCGCACACTCAAAATGAGAGAGGGGACGCGGGCCTGTACCTTCCACTGCATTGCCAAGAAAAGTTGTCGCGGAGTATAGAAGCTTCACTCTAAAAAAAAAAAAGCCCGTGCGTCTACTTTTGCGCACAACACTCGGAGAGCCAATCACCGCAACGTACGGATGCAGCTCAGCGAATGACGATGCCGAAACATATGTTTAGTCCAAAAAACGCAGTCTGAGTTGTGACATTAAGCAATGCAAAACGTCACGCTTGCATTGCTTAATGTCACAACTCAGACCGCGTTTTTTTGGTCTAAACATATGTTTCGGCATCGTCATTCGCTGAGCTGCCTCCGTAAGATGCGGTGATTGGCTCTCCGAGTGTTGTGCGCAAAAGTAGACGCACGGGATTTTTTGTAGAGTGAGGAAGTTATAGCAGACTTATACACGTTACTGAAAAATAGTAAGGAATTACTTTTACAATTACTCAAGGCTAAATTGTAATTTATTACATTTACAATTATCCTGCCATAAAAGTAAGTGACCGTTACCCCCAAAAGTAATCCGTTACTTTCGTGGCGTTACTTTCAACATTATCTTCCTCATGCAATTACGAAACAAAGGGAAAAAGGTTACTCAAGTTCTTATTGTTGCCACCTGTTACATTTATTTACCTTGAGTATTTTGAGGAACAGCTGACTCTCAAAAGTCTCGTCAGTCATTTTGCGTTATTTCTTACTGAAGATGTGGACTGCTACGCTGAGCACCTTAAACTGAGGCACTGGATAGGAGGGCCATGTTGTGCCTCACGAATAATTTGTGCTCTGCATTGAGCTTCCTCAGTGAAGCAATGGAAGTACTATTTACCTCGAAGATAGAGCAAAGCTTCGTCCTTGCAGCCGTTGCCTGATATTCGAAAGTTTTAGTAGAGTTGGTAACAGGTAGGTGATAATTAAATAATAAATAAGGTTTGGCTCGATATTTTTATTCCTCTGGTTCTGAACAGGTCGAGCCTCGGTCGAAACGTTTGTGAATAAGAAAAAAGTTTTCAATATTTAAATAAAAGTAATCGAGAAAAAAAAAACAGGACACTCATAACAACAATTAATTAGAACGTTGGTAAAAATAAGGAAATGTAAACGCACGTTTGCTATGTGTACCTTTCTTGGTGCCGTTCAAAAACGCACGGAGCACGGATGGACTGCCGTTTACACCGGTGTTCTCCAGATAGACGTCCGCTGATGCCACAGGCAGCGAAGGGCAGATAACTAAGTAGGCCACGCTATGGCCGCACTTACGAGTTTCACTCTCTCCTCAAGCCCAGAATATCAAGTGTACGTCAGCCACCATAATGTTTTATTTGCAAAGATCTCTGCTTGAGATAAGATACGTCCTGCTGGAGTAAAAACAGGAAGAAGAAAACAGGTAGACCAGTGGTTCTCAAATGGGTGTCCGCGGACCCTCCAGGGTCCGCGAAGGCATTCTAGGGGTCCGCGTTCATCAGTCAAGCCCGACAATAAAAGTTTTTTTTTTCCAGGTTGAGAAGAAATGTTTCAGTTTTTGGGCGAGTTTCCCCATATGCATGTCAAAAAGAAAGTTCTACTTCACACTAGCCCTTACTTAAATCTATTTATTCAATTAATGTTATATTTACCCTATACCTTCCCCCTCCCCTCACACCAAACGGGGTCCTCCATCATCTCCGCCGATCCACAAGAGGTCCGCGAAACATCGATGGTTGAGAACCACTGAGGTAGACAATTACCATTTTCGAAGTGCTCGCAAAAAGCTGACTCCCAAAAAGGGTGTCTGAGATGCAGATAACATGGGTGGAATTCACAAATAGAGTGGGCTAACGCTAGAAGTTGGTGTATAAAAAAAGTAAGTAGCTTTTTAAACAAGGTCAAATAAGGTGAAAGAAACAGAAAAAAAAATGCATCCTGTTTTCTAAGAGAAGATGGTAAGTGTGCATTGACGAACCAGGATGCTTGTGGCAATAAAACCTTCACATATTATCACATCTGTTTTAGTGCATTTTAGGGTAGATGGAGCGTTTTCTCGTGTTTTGACATTACGAAAATGGCATTGTTAATTCTTGTCTGTGCACTTACCGCCTTAAGCTTCTCGAAGCGGCATATAATCTAGGGTGCCTTCCTCTGCCCGCCTTCGATCGTAAAGAAAAAACAGACACTAAAAAAAGCGGATATAGCTTGCCACCCCCCCCCCCCCCCCTTTTATTTTGTATAAAGTGTGGTTTTTTTTATATTTTGACATTGTTGAGGGTCTAAAACAATAGTTCAGGGGCTTGGTGTTACAAAAAAAAAAAGGCTTTGCAGAACTGAAGAGTGCCAGCCTCCCTTTGCGCTGGTTAATTCGCGTGTTCGCGTGGCAGTGTCACTGCGCAAAATGGAAACGACCTTTTCTTTAAAAGAGGGCGGGGGTGGGGGGGGGGGGGGGGGGGAGGGGGGCTGGTCCTGAAAAAAAATGTAACGGATTACAAGGAATCCGTTACGTAAAAAATGTAAGGAAATTACTTTAAAATTACTCTAGATAATATGTAATTAATCCGTTGATAAATTACTGATAAATGTAAGGGATTACAAGTAATTTGGTTACTTGTAAATAAACTGAAAGAGAGGAGAAGATATAGAATAGCGTGCAGCGTCGTCGCAGTGTCAAGCTCTGACGTCACTTCCGTTTCCAACTCCTTCTCTCCTTCATTTTATCTCAGTATACGCGTAGAAACTGAGGGAGAGGAGGAGATGAGAGCGGTTTAGCGATACAGCCGAGGTCAGAGCTCTGCACCACAGTCAGGCTGCCCGAGGTGGAAGATGACTCACAAGAATATGAGCTTTTTTCCTTTTGTCTCTGTGCGAAATAGTGAAGGATATGGGTTCCGCGGTGTTGAAAAAGAGTGAGCCACTTCACACATCACCTACTATAAAAAAAAAAAAGAAAATATGGCACGACTGGGTCATTCGGTATGATTTTTTTTTTCTGATGTCAGAAAGTTTGATTCTTCTGATCTCACACTTTTATGCTATCCTAGAGAAAGCGACAAACATTTGCCAGAACCTTGATTTCCTCTTTTTTTTATTTGGTTCTTAAAAAATGAAATCCACCTAACGATGCCCAGTGCCCACCGGCGTGCGATTGAGCGAGCGCTCAGCCCTCTTTTGGGTATGACCTTGGCCTCCAGGCTCCAATTATGTAGCTCTGACACCACGTGCACTCAAACGAGGGTTCAAGCCTCTTGTACGCATTTCCGCTACAGGTAGCGTCAAATGCGTCATTCCACAAGGCGCGCGCTTCGTGCGGTTTTTCGAAGCAAATGACAGCACAGGACTGAAATGAACCACGGCCCACGAAAGCAAATGTCGACAGAGCATCCTTCGCGGTTTGCGCGTTCGCACAGCAGCGGTTGTCGGTACCCGGAAGAAACGCGAAGCGTGAATTTTGCAGAAGGGCGTTAGATGAAACAATCCTCACAAACGGGATGAGCGCGAAGTCCAACGATGTGCTCATTCGATTTACCTGCACTTCCTGCGCCAGCTGCCTTCGAGTGCATCACATCTCAAAGCATAACCGGAAGTTCATTGCCCTGCACTTTTCCGCACCGCTCTATACTTCTCTGCGCCAGTGCAGGCTAGGGCAAGTAAATCACATAAGCCCAGCGATATTTTTTTTGTTTCAATGTAAATACGAACGAGCCCATATATACAGCATGCGAGAACATCATAAGCAGTAGGTGTCCAATAATTTAACAATTTTTTTTTTTTACATTTTTAGGAGTTTATAATATGTGGTGTTTGAATACTGACACCAACACAGAGCAAACAATGTAATAATTCAAATGGGTAATACAATATGAATCACAAAAGAAAAAGAACAAACAAAGACGGCTAAAATTTGCTGGAAACGTGACCAATAATGTGACACAAATAAAATTTCGCTACATTTCCCTTACAAACGTAACGGTTTACGATGTTACGTCATACATGGGACATGATGCGGGTTAGACATTGCTCGCTTCGAACGCAAGGTCTCTTTGTCTCCCTGAAAGTAACGGCTGGCGTGTGCGTATCACGTAACACGAGCAGACGCGACGCGTTGCCTGCGGGGCCCTAGGCAACCAACTGTCTGCCCTTTCACTCAGTGACGGGGCTTGACTATAAGCCTTCCCCTCTCCCTCCTCCCTTCCCCGTTTTGCTTCTGCAAAAAGCAGCTGTGGTGGTATGCGCAGCTGGCCAGTCTGAGGTGCCTCTAGCGATCGTTCGGTCCTCGCCACGACGACTTGTGTTGTAGCCCGCTTTGGAACGAACAAGCTGCGCTAGCACTTCCGATTCAGTCTTACTCACAGCGCAAACCTTCTGCGGATGTCGTGATTTTTGTTTTCCTTTGTCTCCACTCGCTGCTCTCGCGAGACGCTGGCTGCTGCCACTGGCGGATGTACCGCTCTCGGTGTCGTGTACAGTCTGCTCGGCGGCCCCAGTTTGCAGAACGATGGCTTATTACCCGGGTGAGTTGCTTGCCGTTTTCTTGGGATTTCGTGCGCTTTTCGTTTGGATCCTCTAGCGACCGTCTAGGCAATCAGCTCTTAAGGCACTGGACCCCATTCATCACCAGGGACTTCGTTTAGCAATTGGAGCTTACAGAACGTCGCCTGTGCTCAATCTGTATGCTGAGGGAAATGAGATGTCCTTTGACAGACGGCGTTTCTCCCTAGGGTTTATGTATTGATTAAGGATACGTTCAGTCGCTCAGCATCCAGCCCGGGAGGCTGTGGAGAGCACTAAATGCCAGAAGACATTCAAAAACAAGCCTAGCATTATCCCTCCATTCGCGATGAGAAACCGGAACTTGGCAGAGTCAGTTGAGATAGACAGTAAGCTCCCAGTTGCTACAGTTGCAAGGTCGGTAGCACCATGGGATTTTAACTGCATACGTTGTGATTTTTTATTAACAAAGTTCAATAGGAAGGATACCCCAACTGAGGTCATGCGACAAGAATTTTTCGAACTCCAAAAGGAACACGATTCTCATTCCCACTACTACACAGACGGCACAAAAACTGAATCATTTGTTGGCTGTGCCATGATTGGCCCTTCAGTAAGAAGTGTTCGTAGGCTTAATTCGTCCGCTACTGTTTTCACTGCTGAACTGCATGGACTTCTGCTTGCAGTAGATCATATCATCCAAACAAGTAACTCTCGGTCAGTTATATATACAGATTCACTGAGTGCTTTACGGGCTCTGACATCGCTTGAAGCCCCAAAGAATGCCCCTCGTTGTTTTATTACAAAACAAAATAGTAGCAGCAACCAGGAAAGGATCTAATGTTCTATTCTGCTGGGCACCGAGCCATGTCGGAATCCCAGGGAACGAAGAGGTAGATCGTGCTGCGGGCACTTCTGGCTCCCGTGCTGTAGACATTAGTAGCATCCCATACAGAGATTACTGTGCCCTAATCAAATACCATGTGAAAGCCCAGTGGCATGCAGAATGGAGCCTACAGGTGTCAAACAAACTGCACATGATTAAGCCTTTTCTTGGTGAGTGGCAGAGTGCTAGGCACAGAGACAGGTTTTATGAGGTAGTTCTCTGGTCGACTACGCATAGGACACACGCGGCTCACGCACGGACACCTCTTACGTGGGAAGGACCCTCCTGAATGTGAACATCGCCAGGAACCGCTGAGTGTCTCACATATCCTTCTAGAATGTCCTGCGTATGAAGAAAAACGCCTCCACTACTTTTGCCAACTGTACAAAGACCATGTTCCTTTACACCTATGTGTGTTACTCGGAAATGAGCCACTACTCCCACCCACCCAGGTTTTTAAGTTTTTAAAATGCGTTGATCTTTTACACATATTGTAGCATTATTTATAATGTAAGGTGCTACTCTTATTTTATACATTTTGCGAACTACCAGCTACTAAAGCTCTTTCTTCTTTTAAATCCTCGTCTGCAATAGTATCATTTCTTGGCGCATCATAGCCTTAGTTGCTTTTGCGCACAAAACCCCAATCTACTACTACTACTCTAGTGACCATGCCTTTTTGTGGTCGTAGATAGCGTGTATCTAGATTTTTACATCGGGCTAAAAATACATGCAGATTCAGACTTTGTTTCTCCGTCACGCCAGAAATTAAAGACTCAAGTTGATGACACGTTAAGATTTCGGTCAATGAGCTGTGCCTCTATGACAGGTCGTCACACAAGAGCCAGCCCTGCGGAAGGCAAAGTGTGCGTGCTGAAGGCAGAGCACCTACCGCATTCTTAACCTCTCACTTACTATAAAGAGCACAGGTCGCATGAGCCCTCGTAGTGGAGGTACCTCTTTCCAAGCTACGCTCGCGGAAGTACCTCTGCGTATTCTTCACCGAGAAGCGCTCGGAAAGCCAACCACTTGTCTCCTTTCCATTAGATCAGCCGATGAAAAGGGCGATGACCATAGCACACTAATTAAAAGGAAATCTTTATAAAAAAAAAAGGCGCCCCCTTACATTTTTTTTTTAAACCACGGAAATGACATGACTGTACTCGGCTTCAACCATTCTATGCAACGTTGTCAAAGGCTAGAGTAGTTTCAACAGAGCTCCAACGCTTTTAGTGATATAAGAAATAACGATTCTGAGGAGATCTGTTTTAGTTTTTTTCTTTTCCATTTGTTTCTATATATTTGTATTTTGTGTGGCTTCTCCTTCTATCTTTCTTTATTTGTGTTTTACCTTTTCCTATCTAATCATGATCTTCCCTCCCGTTCATTACACAGCGTACCAAACCAACAAGAGGGGCTGGTTGTTCTTATTGGTTCATAAACGTCAGTTTAACTCGTTGTTCAATAACCGCCGATTTCTATCTCTCCCTGTATCTTTCTTTTTCTCGCCAACGCTTTAAAAGCTACTTGGGTGACCGTAAGAGCTTGGCTTTCTTCGGCGTCTCTTTTTTTTTTTTTGTCTTTTTGTCTTTGGCGTGTTTTTAAACCGCGTGTTTCTGTTAAGTCGTCTGCTTTCGCAGGCGGTCGCGGTGACGTCAGAATGACCCTGAGCTCTGATTGGCTTTAATTGAAAAGACTTTGGGTAAAGCTCAATGCTAGATGACTTGAGGCCTATCCACTATTTTTTTTTTTCAATAAGCCAATAAGAGTTCGGCGTCTCAGCATCATCGCAAAACCTATACAAAAAGCAGGTGAACTAAAGTTCCGCATGGTCTGAGGTCTAGCAATGCGCATGGCGGTAATTATGAAAATCAACCTATAAGCACCGTATCCACGGATACTATTGTGTTTTGCACTTAACTTTAGGTCGTGATCGCCGAAGATGATCAAGCTGTTACACTTGGCGGGCACGATTTTGGAATGTGCTCGTTATATTTCACTTTTTGTCATCAGCTCAACTTTTCTAAAAGGCGTTTTCCTTAATTCGGAAGTATACTTGTATTGAGCGCGTTGATAATAAATTCAAAAAGATATGAAAGAGTCAGACGAAGAGGACGGACAGGACAAACATCTTTCGACTTTCAACACATGTACCACCTTCTTATCACATTGGTCCATGCGAAGGATGTTCAGGGTAGGGGGAGTAAAGTTAAAACGAAATAGAGAAATACACAGAGAGGGAGAGAGGTAAAAAGAGAGAAAGAAAACATATTCAAAGCGAGACCAGATGTAGGGGAAGTGTGGACTGTAAGCTTAAAATCATGCGGTCATTGAACAGCGGAAATATAATTGAAAGGTCACTGACACCAAAAAAAAAAAAAAAGAAAGGCTAAGCTGTTGAGTGTTTTAGTCACTCGAATGAGTACGATGAAACACGATTGAGATACTGCACAAATATATTTCTCAATAAAACGTGAGGGCGCAAGTGAGTAGAATTATCCGAGAGTGCGGTGACGACCGGAAAACAACAGGAAGAAGGAAATAAGTCTCAAGAGAAGCATCGAATCCTCAGTAATCCTCACCAAAGAGAAAAGCAAAAACGAAGACACATACCAAAAAGCTGGGGGGATAAGCAGGTCAGAGAAGTCCTATTGCGGCACAAGCGGCATCTAGGGATCATAGGTGGGCAAAGAAAAGGGGAGCCTTGCCGGCTGAAGTAGCATCAATATGGGAGAACTTCCAAGAGCGGAAATGGGAGGCATCAGCTTTAATACAGACCAAAATTGGGAGCGCAAGAGTGCAGTGGATGATGTGAATAAATAAAAAAAAAAAGATAGGAATGCGGCGAAAAAGTTTTGGGAACGCATTCAAGAGCAGGGGAGAAAGACAGTGAGTTTCCAACGCATACTGACCGCACAGGAGGGGAGAAGAATAAAGGGGGGGGGGGGCACGGGAATATTTTAGGCGGGCAACTCAAGAGACTTTCTCCCAGCTTCAGCAGAGGGGGACAGTGGATAGCACTGACAGCTGCAGTGAGCAAAATTCTGTAAAAATGGAGACGACCACAAGAGAATGGGGTAAGTCAGAAAGTAAAGTTCCATCAGGTACAGTGATAAGCCCAGACGACATACCCATGGAACTCATTAAGCAAATTGAAGTTAGCGCATGCGATTAATTAGATATATAGGGAAGGAGAGGCACCCAATGATTGGAAACTAAGCTAAATGAATCTAATATTTAAAAGGCAAAGAAAATAAAGGCAATATTAAGGCATATCGCCCAATAACAGTAACTTTAGAAATATTGCCCCGCGCGCAACTGACCAAGAAGGCAGCGCGCTCGTGGCCTAACGGTTATCGCGCTTGCCTACCACGCAAACAGCCAAGGATCGACTCCTGGCCGCGAGTGCAGATTTTTGTTGACTCTGTAATGTGATGTTCAGGTAAATTCGAGAACAGTGTGCTGCTGATTCGAAGTTAGAAAATTCTACGAGCCGAACCTTCTACGCCGATTGTTCCAGAAGCAAAAACGCGTGTACACAAGGGGCTCCGCTTGGCGAGCAGCTGCAGTCTTGCCCCAACGCTCGATTCTGCTCTTACGCCGACTTCGACGCCCGCGACGCTCTGTTGTTATCTTCTGTTTCTTTTTTTGTTTGGGCTCAAGTTCGCCCCAGTAAACATTTATTTCCTCCTGTTTATTTATTGTTCTTTTGATCACCACCCGCGACCATATTCAAATTAGCTACGCAGATAGCAAAGTGAAGAATGGAGGAATGGGCAGAAGATATGCAAGTACTGGGTGAGGTTCAAAATGGATTCCGAAGCGATAGAAAGCTGGAAGATAACTTATTCGTCGCCACACAATGTATAGAAATAGCAGTGAGGAACCAAACTCGTTTATGGTTAGCTTTTTTATACGTCAAAGGAGCGTAGGATTATGCGAGCCAGGAAAAACTCTGGGGTCAACTGAAGGAGTATAACTCAGATGCAAATTTGGTTAAGTTTATTCAGTACGTGTAAACAGACAATAAGGTAGTTATAACATGGGAAGGGGAAACTACACAACCCGCAAAAATAGAAAGAGGGCTCACTGTTTACTGTCACCTCTGCTCTTCACAATATATATCAGTGAAATGGA